TTCAGGAAGTTCTGGATGTTGGTTCTGTATTTTGTTACTTTGATGTGGTTGTGGGAGGCGGCAAGTACCCGCATTTACTTACGTGGTTCTTCCCATTGACCATTTTCTTAATCAGGTTGTTTGTGTTGAATTTTAGAAGTTCTTATCCTGGATATTAATCCCTTATCATATATATGATTTGCAAACATTTTCTCCCCTTCTATGGATTGCCATTTTGGTCTTGATGTTAAAAACTTTCATGAAGTCCATTTTATCTATTTTTCCCTTTATCACCTGTGCCTTTGGTGTCATTTCCAAGAAATCACTGCCAAGTCCAATGTCATGAAGCTTTTGTCCTATGTTTTCTTTTAAATGTTTTATTTTAGAACTAGAGGCCTGGTGCACAAATTTGTGTGTGAATGGGTAGGGTCCCTAGGCTTGGCTAGTGATCAGGGCCGATTGGGGCCTTCCTTCATTCCACACCGTCCTCTGGTGCTCAGTGCATGTCATAGCAAGCAGTGATCTCCAGGTGGGTCTAATTCCCAAAGGGACAATTTGCATATTAGCTTTTTATTATATAGTGTTTATTTACATTTAGGTCCTTGCTTCATTTTGAGGTAAACTTTTTTTTTAATATATGAAAGAGAGAGAGAGAGAGAGAGAGAGAGAGAGAGAGAGAGAGAGAGAGAGAGAGAGAAAATATCAATGATGAGAGAAAATCATTGATCAACTTCCTTCTGCATGCCCCCTACTAGGGATGGAACTTGAAACAGGGCATGCACTCTTGACCAGGATCAAACCCTGGACCCTTCAATCCACAGGCCAACACTCTATCCATTAAGCTAAACCAGCTAGGGCTAGTCCTGTTTTTAACAGACATTTACAGCTATAAATTTACTCCTTATCTCTGTTGTCACTGAGTCCCATAAGTTTTGGTTCATGACTTTCCTTCTTATTCCCCCTAAATATTTTCTAATTTCTCTTGTAATTTCTTCTTTGATCAATTGTTTAAAATACTGTTTAAAAAGTATATTTTTTAATTTCCATAATTTTTGTTTGGGTAGTGAATGATTCTTCACCATGATCACTGATGTTTCTCTCTCTCTCCTTTCCTCTCTGAAATCAATAAAAATGAATTTAAAAAATAGAATAGAATAGCTACATCAGTTCTCCTTTAGTTGGTGTTTGTATGGTCTTTGACCATCCCTCTACTTTCTGTCTTTCTGTTTTTTACACTTAAGGGGTATCTTATAAACAGTATACACATTTCCCCTTAAGTCCAGTCTAGCAGCCTTTGTCTTATAATAATTGGAATATTTGTTTTTACTCTTTTTCCCATATTTTCTTGGTTCATGTTCCTATTTTCTCAAAGTACTTTAACATTTCCCCCTTTAATTATTCTTTTTAACACTTATCCTGGGCACTCCTTCATGCATCCTGGACTCTTCACACTTTGCGTACATGCCATTTCCCACATACTTACTTTCCATTCTCCTCAACCCTTACTGCTAAGGTCCCATCTGGAATCTTTTTCTTCCTTCAGAGACAGAGACAGAGAGTACCGGCGTAGGGTGGGTGAATGTATGTGTCTCCCATCAGTGAATGCTAGATTTCGTTTGATGGAAAACATCTGCTGTTTGACAGAAAATATCTTTTATCTCACTGTGACATTTTTGCAAGGTATTTTCACTGTCTAGTATTGCTCTGGAGTTACTGTCGCGTGGCACTTTGAACTAGCAGGCTCGGCCTCCTGGTCTTGGATCACAGCAGTTTTCTTTTTCTTTTTCTTTTTTTTATAGATCAATGTTAATTTTATTTTGATACACGCACTATGGTTATGTATGAGTGTACTTTTAAAATATATATATATTTTATTGATTTTTTTACAGAGAGGGAGAGGGATAGAGACTTAGAAACATTGATGAGAGAGAAACATAAATCAGCTGCCTCCTGCACCCCCCCCCCCCCCCCACACACACACAGGGGATGTGCCCGCAACCAGGGTACATGCCCTTGACCGGAATCGAACCTGGGAGCCTTCAGTCCATAGGCCAATACTCTATCCTCTGAGCCAAACCGGTCAGGGCCCAGCAGTTTTCTTAATGTCCTTGAGGTTTGTGGGCTTTACTCCTTTTTATGGTTCGATGTTGCTAATGTCTTAGAAAATTCTAGCCCACTATTTCTTAAAATAGCCTGAGTACTACAATCTCTCTCCTCTCCTGCTGGCCCTCTTGTTACATGAAGGCCGGCTTCGCGCCATTCCTAATGTGGGTGTTATGCTCATTCTGTTTTCTTTTTTTGAATAGTTCCTGCTATCTTCCACTTCTTTTATCACTTTGCAGTGTCTAATCTGCCCTAAGTCCATCTATTGAATTTGTATTTGCAGATACTACGGGGTTTTTGTTGTTTGGTTTTTTGTTTTGTTTTAAATCCTCACCCGAGGATATTTTCCCATTGATTTTTAGGGAAAATAGAAGAGAGAGAGAAAGACAGAGAGAAATGCATCGATTGGTTGCCTCCTGCACATGCCCGAACCAGGGCCCAGAGCAGGGAGGAGCCTGCAACCAAGGTACATGCCCTTGACCTGAATCGAACTCAGAACTGTTCAGTCTGCAGGCCGACACTATCCACTGAGCCAAACTGGCCAGGGCCAGATACTATAATTTTAGGTTCTAGAATTTCCATGACATTTTCAAAAATGAATTTATTTTATTTTATTTCAGAGCTAGTATCAGCTTTTATTTATTATTTTTTTAAAATAAATCTTTATTGTTCAGATTATTTCAGTTGTTCCTCTTCCTCCCCCCCACCCCCATAGCTCTCCTCCACCCAGATCCCATCCCACCCCATCCTTATCCACAGGTGTATGATTTTTGTCCAGTCTCTTCCTGCACCTCCCACACCCTTTTCCCCCGAGAATTGTCAGTCCACTCCCTTTCTATGCCTCTAATTCTATTATATTCACCAGTTTTATTATGTTCATCAGGTTTTTTTATTCCCTTGATTTTTAGATTCACTTGTTGATATATATGTATTTGTTGATCATAATTTTTATCTGTACCTTTTTCTTCTTCTTCCTCTTCTTAAAGAATACCTTTCAGCATTTCATATAATACTGATTTGTTGGTGATGAACTCCTTTAGCTTTTTCTTATCTGTGAAGCTCTTTATCTGGCCTTCAATTCTGAATGACAGCTTTGCTGGGTAGAGTAATCTTGGTTGTAGGTTCTTGCTATTCATCACTTTGAATATTTCTTGCCATTCCCGTCTGGCCTGCATAGTTTCTGTTGAGAAATCAGCTGACAGTCATATGGGTGCTTCCTTGTAGGTAACCAACTGTTTTTTTTTCTTGATGCTTTTAATATTCTCTCTTTGTCTTTTGCTCTTGGCATTTTAATTATGTGCCCTGATTGGGAATTGAACTGTGACCTCCTGGTTCATAGGTCAATGCTCAACCACTGAGCCACACCAGCTGGGCAAGCATGACATTTTTTTTACCGTGAGAATTCATGTATTCCCGCCCAGGTTCCACCATTAGTACTTTGTTATGCTTGTTTTGCCGCACATTTATCTATCTGTACTTTTACCATCTGTCAATCTTTCTTACTTTATTGATGCATTGCCAGGCATGCTGTAGATACCAATACTGTTCTACTTGAAACGTTAGCATGCAATGCACAAACAGTCAAGGTAATATGAAGACAAGAAAAACTCTGAAGTGAGAGTATAGGGGATGGTCATGTTTGGTTTCTGAAGCGCTGCAGTGTTTTTATTAAGCAGCTTTTGCTTTTATAATTAGGAACAACAAACATCAATAAGCCCTGACTGACATATCCGACAGGTGTTGCTCAGACTTCTTAGAACGTGCACACGGCACACCAGGCCGGGAGGCTGTGTCCACGTGTGCGTGTCTCACAGGCCGCCTGGGCCTTTGTTGTTGTTTCATGTTGTTTCCTCTCTGCCTGGTCTTGGAGAGTGGGTGACCGGAGAAGCTCTGTTTAACACTGGAGAACTAAGTGAGCGCACGGGCAGCTCCCGCAAGGCCAGGCCTGGAAACATGGGGTTGGTCCCAGATTTGATGCTGACCGCCAGGGCGCTTTATACCTTTTCATTTCCTCCTAGTGACCCCGCGTGCAAAATCGCGTGGCCCCGCCCACCTGCCCGGCCTTAACACCCTCCCCTGCCCCCCATCCCGACCCTCCAGCCTTCTCTGGCTGCTTCAAGCCCTGCCCTCGGTTCCAGGAGTCGCTGGGCTTGTCCCGCCTCATCCGGCACCTCCCCGTTTCCGCCCCATCTCTAGGGCAGCTCCGCCCACCGTGCTGCAGCCTCCGCCTAATGGTCCTTCCGCATGAGGGCGCCGGCCATTAGCATATCAGCTCTTTGTTATACAGGGTTTTTCTCGCACAGTACGGGTAGGAAACCTGTTCATGCTACCAGGTAAGTCACGAGAAGGCTGCCAGCAAGCTGTGACCTTAGAGTGCAGTGTGCGTGCGGTCAGGAAGCCCGCTGCCGCGGCTCCTGTCCTGCCTCGGGAGAAGCCGGCCGCAACGCTGGGCCAGCCACTCCTGAGGGCCCCCCGGGCCGGGCCCTCCCAGTGTCCCCCTCAGCACCGCGGCCTCAGCTGGTCGGTTACAGTGAAAATGGAAGTTTGTGTTTTTATTAACATGTCCCCCTTTAATACTTTCAACTGGACAGTCCCATCCCTAAGCTGGCTGGCCCTCTGTGTGTTCACAATCGTCCTGTACTTCATTCCACTGAGATACAGTAAAAAAAAAAGATTTCCCCCCTTTGTTGTGTTTATTGGGTGCCACTGGCTATGGGGTCACACCCGTCCTGGGGCACAGCCTACAGGCCCCTCTCACCGTGTGCTCACGCCAAGCCCCCCACCCGCCACCAAAGGCTCTCAGCAGGTGCCTCGAGCAGGGGGCCCTGCAGCACCTATGTGCTCCCCACATGGGGGGGACACCCTTGTTGCTGATGGTACCAGCTTCCCTCCTTGCTCTCTTCTGTTTTATCCCCCAGGCCCCTGCCTGTGCCCACGCCGCCCGGGCCCCAGCACCAGAGCGAGGGCGACCCTGAGTACATGACGCCCTCCTCCCGGCCTGCCAGCCTCCCGCCGCCTGAGGGCAGGCAGCTCCCTGAGGACGCCCCCCCGAGCCTACGGTGGGTGCCCATGCCCGCACCCGCGCCCCCACCACACACAGCCTCACACTCACACAGCCTCACACTCACACACACAGCCTCTCACACACAAGCCTCACACTCACACACACAGCCTCTCCCACACAAGCCTCACACTCACACACACAGCCTCTCACACACAGCCTCACACTCACACACACAGCCTCACACACACAGCCTCACACACACACGCAGCCTCACACTCACACACACAGCCTCACACACACAGCCTCACACACACACAGCCTCACACTCACGCAGCCTCACACTCACACACACAGCCTCACACACAGCCTCACACTCACACAGCCTCACACTCACACACACAGCCTCACACACACACAGCCTCACACTCACACACACAGCCTCACACTCACAGCCTCACACTCACACAGCCTCACACTCACACACACAGCCTCTCACACACAAGCCTCACACTCACACAGCCTCACACTCACACACACAGCCTCACACACACACAGCCTCACACTCACACACACAGCCTCACACACACAGCCTCACACACACACGCAGCCTCACACTCACACACACAGCCTCACACTCACACACACAGCCTCACACACACACACAGCCTCACACTCACACACACAGCCTCACACACACAGCCTCTCACACACACAGCCTCACACTCACACACACAGCCTCACACACACAGCCTTTCACACACACAGCCTCACACTCACACACACAGCCTCTCACACACACAGCCTCACACTCACACACAGCCTCACACTCACACACACAGCCTCACACACACACAGCCTCACACTCACACACACAGCCTCACACACACACAGCCTCACACTCACACACACAGCCTCACACTCACACAGCCTCACACTCACACAGCCTCACACTCACACAGCCTCACACTCACACACACAGCCTCACACTCACACACAGCCTCACACTCACACACACAGCCTCACACACACACAGCCTCACACTCACACACACAGCCTCACACACACACAGCCTCACACTCACACACACAGCCTCACACTCACACACACAGCCTCACACTCACACAGCCTCACACTCACACAGCCTCACACTCACACACACAGCCTCACACTCACACACAGCCTCACACTCACACACACAGCCTCACACTCACACACAGCCTCACACTCACACACACAGCCTCACACACACACAGCCTCACACTCACACACACAGCCTCACACTCACACACACAGCCTCACACTCACACAGCCTCACACACAGCCTCACACTCACACACACAGCCTCACACTCACACACACAGCCTCACACACACAGCCTTTCACATACACAGCCTCACACTCACACACACAGCCTCTCACTCACACACACAGCCTCACACTCACACACACAGCCTCACACTCACACACAGCCTCTCACTCACACACACAGCCTCACTCACACACACAGCCTCACACTCACACACACAGCCTCACACACACACACAGCCTCTCACTCACACACACAGCCTCTCACTCACACACACAGCCTCACACTCACACACAGCCTCACACTCACACACACAGCCTCACACACACACAGCCTCACACTCACACACACAGCCTCACACACACACAGCCTCACACTCACACACACAGCCTCACACTCACACAGCCTCACACTCACACAGCCTCACACTCACACACACAGCCTCACACTCACACACAGCCTCACACTCACACACACAGCCTCACACTCACACACAGCCTCACACTCACACACACAGCCTCACACACACACAGCCTCACACTCACACACACAGCCTCACACTCACACACACAGCCTCACACTCACACAGCCTCACACTCACACAGCCTCACACTCACACACACAGCCTCACACTCACACACACAGCCTCACACACACAGCCTTTCACATACACAGCCTCACACTCACACACACAGCCTCTCACTCACACACACAGCCTCACACTCACACACACAGCCTCACACTCACACACAGCCTCTCACTCACACACACAGCCTCACTCACACACACAGCCTCACACTCACACACACAGCCTCACACACAGCCTTTCACACACACAGCCTCACACTCACACACAGCCTCACACTCACACACACACACACACACACACACGCACACCCCGTCAGCACAGCAGTGGCTTCCCGCTCGGGGACGTGGGAGGACGGGTGCCCTGGCGGCTCCGGGGCAGGGAGGTCTCTGAGCCGCGGTGACAGGCGCGGTGTCTGCTCTCTCCGGCTCAGGGCGGGCGGCGACGCGCAGGCGGACGGCAGCACCTATGAGGCCATGTACACCCTGCAGCCCCTGGGCGCGCCGGCCGGCGCAGAGGGCAGCTCCGTCGGTGAGTGGCTTCTGCTCCCGGGTCATGGTGGCCCGGAAGGAGCCTGTGGCGTTTGGTGAGACAGCTTGGTCTGAGCAGAAAGTCATTGTAAATAATTTTATTTGCAAAATATATTTACCCCGACAGTAAACCCTCCTCTCTCTTACTTCCTGTTTGCACAGCCAGACTCTGCTCTTCCTCCTCCCAGGCCTGAACCCGGGTGGCAGCTCCCTGTGCCCCTGCTTGTTGTTTCTGGGTTTACTCAATGCTTTCCGAGAGGAAGGGAGAGGCACAGTGCTGAGAGAGAATCATGGATCGGCTGCCTCCTGCACGCCCCCACTGGGATCGAGCCTGCAACCCAGGCCTGTGCCCTGACCGGGAATTGAACCCAGGACCCTCCAGTCCACAGGCCGATGCTCTTCCCGCTGAGCCCCACCAGCCAGGGTGCTCCCACTGCTTTTACATCTACAAACTTTTTTGTGTGGGTGGTGAGTCCGGGCCCCCCCGAGAGGGAAGTGCAGAGCGCTGGGACTGCCGGCAGGTCAGGGCGCTGGGCATGGGCGGGAGGGAGCTGCAGGCCGGGTAGGCTGTTCCTCGCTCTCTTTGGTCTCCGCCCCAGCCTTCCGTCGTGTGTGGCCACAGTAAACGTGGCAGCTGACTGAACATACGTGCACGGGTGTCGGGTGCCCTCTGATGTGAGTTAAAGGTGGCGAATGGGGGACGGAGCTAACGCGTGCATGTGCTCTAGGCGAGGGGGACGCGGCTGCAGCCGCTGCTGGCGTCGGCCCCGAGGAACCGGAGAACGAGGACGAGGGCTACGACGTCCCCAAGCCGCCCGTGCCCACAGCGCTGGCCCGCCGGACGCTCTCCGACATCTCCAACGCCAGCTCCTCCTTCGGCTGGCTGTCCCTGCAAGGCGAGCCCGCAAGTGAGTCCCGGCCTCGGTGCTGAGCGATGCCTGCCCCCTCCCCCGCGGCCGGGAGCTCGTGGCCGGAAGCAGTGGACTAGGAAGTCCATCCGAGGGGAGGGAAGCTGGGCTGGGCCCCGAATTAGGAAGTTAAACTGTAGTCAGACCCTGGGATCTGGCCAGATATGAGGTGTTTCCTTAGACGGAGGTTCTCACCCTCCTGACCCTGACGCCACGGCCCTTAACACAGCCCTCAGCTGTGGTGCCCCCACCCACAGTCATTTCCGTGGCTGCTTCAGACTGTGCCTTCGCTACTGTTAGGAATTGTAAATATCTGTGTTTTCTGATGGTCCTAGGCCCTACAGCAGCCACCCGCAGGGTGAGGACCGCTAGCAGGGTCGCCTAAGACCGTTGGAAACACAGATATTACATCACGGTTCATAACATAGCCAAGTTACAGTGATGGAGCAGCCACGGAATTGCCTGTGGGTGGGGCACCACAGCTGAGGGCTGTGTGAAAGGCCACGTGTCAGGAGGCGGGAACCGCTGCTTCAACAGTGGCTCCCGGCCCCGGTGCCTCAGGCTGTGGGGACGGTGGCCATTGGGCTCGGCCGCCCTGAGGAAGGGGTGCTGGCAGCAGCGGTGGGCCTGGCTGTGGCGCTGGGGCCAGCCGTGTGCAGCCTCAGGCCCGCCTTGTGTATGCTTCACCGAATTGTGCTCGTTTCTGCTGTTATGTGCAAAAGGAAAGTTGTGTCTTCTCAGAAACACTGAAAACTAATCCAGGTGGTGATGCGTGTGCTGCCACACGTGCTGCGTGTTGTCATGTGGATGAGGTGCCGTGCAGCAGTGGGAGAGCCGGGAGGGCAGGTGTGGGGTGCTTGCAGGGGCTCCCACTGGGCGGAGGTCTGGGGCCTGCCGACCAGCCTGTGTCCCCGAGGGCAGCTGGCCACATCCGAGGCCGCTGGTGTCACTCCCACAGTAGCCGAGGTCCCCGGTTTGCAGACATTTTCTCTTATTTCTTCTAGACTTCACGGAGGGTTCCCCAGTTCCCGAGAGACCCCCCAAGCCGTTCCCTCGGAGAATCAACTCTGAGCGCAAGGCAGGGCCGGGCCAGCCGGCTGCCCCTGCGGCCGCCTCGCCGCAGCTGTCCAGCGAGATCGAGAGCCTGCTGAGCCAGGGCTACTCCCACCAGGACATCCAGAAGGCCCTGCTCATCGCCCACAACAACATCGACATGGCCAAGAGCATCCTCCGCGAGTTCGTGTCCATCTCCGCTCCCGCCCACGTGGCCACCTAGCACCTCCGCCTGCGCTGGCGAGGAAGTGGCTGGCATCGCGGGGGGCCGGGCAGGGGCTCCCCGGGGCGCCGGGCAGGGCTCCGGAGACTTGAGTGAGGTCGGCCTGCCGCGGGCTCCCTGTGGCTAGGGTTCAAGGCGTGGAGGACATGGCGGCTGTGCATGCTGCCTTGTTGGGGGTGCGTTTGGAGGCCCTCGGGCCGGTGGGTTTATAAACATGCGCCCGGAAGGCGGCAGAGGAAGGAGCACTCACCCCTGGGCGGCGGGGCTCCTGGCCCAGGCCGAGGCTTCAGGTCTGGCCGCGGCCTGGGATGTAGGACCAGCCTGCTATCGCCCGGCAGCGGGAACCGCAGAGGCTTCTCGGAGCCGCGTTAAACCTCCCCAGCTGCGGGGTCCCCTCCCCCGCATGTGCGGCCGGGCACCGCTCCCTCCGCTGTCACAGCTCGCCCCCTCCGCTCAGGGTGCTCCGCGCTGGGTGCTGGCGGGTGGGGAGATGTGGGAAGGCCGTGATGGAGCAGTCATTTCCATGGGGACGCGGAGGGCTGTTGGCGGCGCCGGGGGACTGGACAGGTCGCCCGCCTGTGGCCTAGGCCTTGCACCCGGGCCTCCCGGAAGGAGTGGGGTGGCTGCCCTGATGGGGGGCGGGGTGGGCACGCGTGTTTTTGCCGCTCGGCGGGAGGAGCGTTGTCCTCAGGGTGGCTTCCCAGAGCCCCTCACATGCTCTTGACCTTGTTGTCCATAAAATGCACAGAACAGATGGCTGGGATGTTTGTCCGTGTTTCTCCCAGGGAGCTGGCTCCGCCCTGCGGCGTCTCCGGGCCGGCAGCCTGGGGTGCCCCCATGGCGTGTGCCCGCAGGGCCCGGCGAGTGCGGGAGGCGCCGCCTGTGCCCGCAGCTCAGTCCTCTGTGCCTCCCCGTCCCCCAGGGCCTTGCGCGCTCGGGGAACGCCTGTTCCCACAGTGGCTAGGTGGCACTCACCGTCCGACCGACCGACCAACCGTCCCAGCAGCCCGCTGTGGCTGCAGGTTCCAACGCAGATCCGGCCCAGGTGGAGCCCGAACTGCTGGGTGCCACCCAGAGCCCTGGGTCCAGCCCCTGCCCAGCCCCCTCCCCTCCCCTCCCCCACGCCGCCCGGCTCAGCGAGCTCCTGTCTTGGGATCTGGGCAGAAGCCACTCTCCTTAGAGCCTTGGCCATCTTGTCACCTGTCTGAACTTCTCTTCCCTGCTCAGGGCTCAGGCCTGTCTGACTGCTCGGGCAGCAGTGCCCCAGGCGGGCGTGCGGGCCTCTGGTGATTTGCACGTTCCCAGGGCCTCCCGCTGGGCACAGCTCTGCGCCCTCAGCGGGTGGGGGGGGGGCCGGGTGCGGAGGAGGACAGGGAGTGGGGGAAGGCCCTGGGGGGGTGGGGCCCTCAGCTGGTGAGGACCGGGAGGTGGCAGCGGTCGGACACAGGGCACCGGCCTCTGCACCAGGAGAGGGTCTCACTGCTAAGCCAGAGTGTTGTTGAGATGTTGGAGCCACCGGGCCCGGAGCCCCGGCCGCCTGGCCGGCCTGTGTGGAGCAGGAGGCGGGACGCTGTGTCGGGCCTCCCGGGTCAGCGCCCGAGGGTCTCAGGGCTGAGGTCCAGGCCTGCAGGCTCCGGCTCCCTCTAGGGCCTCCTCTCTCAGCCTCCGCCCTTCCCCCTCTCTCTGCTGGGATGGCACCACTGCCCTGCCCAGGCCTTTGCCTGGGGCCCGCCATTTCTGACAAACTCCTCCCCACCTGCCCCGCTGCTGCTCTGACCCCAACTGGCTCACTTCCCCGGGTCCCTGCCTTCTCACCCGCCGCCTGCGCCCTGTGTCCTGGCTGCTGCTTTCCTCTGCCCCCGCACACGCTTCCTTTGGTTTTCAGAGAAAGGAGGCGGGAGAGGTTGCCTCCCATATGCACCCCGACCAGTGGATGAACCTGCAACTGACTGGTCGGCCCTGGGCTGCTGTGCATGGCCTCCCCGCCACCCACCACCCGGCCCCGGTCTCCCGCCCCCTAGCTGGCGCCTGCTGTTAGCAGCCATCCGCTGCCTCTCCCTGACGCTCCCCAATGGGCAGACCCGGCCCAGGTGTCTGCCTGTAGGTGAGGAACCCACTGGGCACCGTGGGCTGGGCATGTATCTGTGTTCTCTCTGTGACAGCAGACCGCCACTCTCCCAGCCTCTCCCCACCCCAGCCCTCTCCCCACTCCCGCTGCCCTCCCCCCTCTCCCTGCCCTCTCCCCTGCCCCCCCTCCCTGCCCTCTCCTGTCCCCCTGCCCTCTCCCTCTGCCCTCTCCCCCATCCCCCTGCCCTCCCCTCTGCCCTCCCCCATCCCCCTGCCCTCCCCGCTGCCCTCTCCCCTTCCTGCCCTCTCCCCCGTCCCCCTGCCCTCCCCGCTGCCCTCTCCCCTCCCTGCCTTCCCCTCTGCCCTCTCCCCCATCCCCCTGCCCTCCCCTCTGTCCCCTGCCCTCTCCCTCTGCCCTCCCCCCTGTCCACCTGCCCTCCCCTCTGCCCTCTCCCCCATCCCCCTGCCCTCTCCCTCTGCCCTCCCTCCACCACCCTCTCCCTTAGCCCCCTCTTCCCCCCCTCCTTGCCTCCTTCCTCTACCTCCCCTTCCCTCACGTGCCCCCACCCCCGGCCCTGCGTCCCTGTCTCTCCTGTACAGACTGTCAGCACCGGGCCCAGGCGTGTCGTCTGGCCGTTTGTGAATAAAGACATGGGGGGTACTATTCTTCATACTTGAAGTATTAATTTCTTCTATAGAAAAGAGATATTTTATGGCCCAAACAGCAAATGTACAAGTGAATTTTTGTAAATTTGCTTGCAAAGTAGGGACCAGCTGTACGTTCTCTTGGCGGCACTGGTAACAGACCTAGGTCCCCCTCAACTGATGTGACACCCTGTCATCGATCACCACGCTCTCCCTCCCCCTGAGACGGAACGTAAGTGTCCTCTGGACGGCGCCCACCCGCCGCTCAGTGCCCTCGCTGGGCGCTGCAGCTCCTACCTCACCGGGCGCAGAGCCAGGCTCGCCCTCGCCCAGCCAAGCTGTGCCGAGCTGTGCCGGCGCCAGCCCCTCCGGCCGTGCGGGAGGCGCTGATGGGCTGGTCCTCGGGCTCCTGGCCACTCGTGCCCTGACATAGCCCTTCCCAGTGCGGGCGGCCCCCACTCCACCCCTGGGGCCCTGCAGGCTGCCCCGGCTCAGACGGCTCCCCACTGTTTCCCAGCGTGGTCCTGCCTGGGAGGTCCCCAGGGAAGTCAGGGGTCCCCCGAGGGCCGTGGAGGCGGGGCCTGTGGGCTGGGGGCTGTTGGTCCCCTCCGTCAGCCTCCTCGTGGGGCGGCCAGCCCCCGGCGCCACGGCGCCAGCCCTTTGGGACTTGTCTGCTCCTCACCAGCTTGGCAGCTACCTGGGCCTCTCAGCCCAAGGCCGGCAGAGGCGGGTCTGGTCCTGGCCTGCCAGCAGGCCTGCTCTCGCAGCCAGGAGACGGGCGGGCTCTCAGGCGCCTCACCCGGCACCGCCCCGGCTCCTGCCTTCCCGGGCTCCGGGCCGCCCACAGGACGGGCTCTTCAGACCCGCACACGGCGGGGGCGGGGGGTCCGGTGCGTCTCGGCCCATCCTGCTTGGGGATCACAGGAGGTCATGGTGAAGGCAGGAGGGAGTTCAAGGATGCAGGCTGTTCCCCAGGGCCTGCAGTGGAGCTGGGCCCTGTGCCTCGGCCTCTGTCCCGCCTGGCCGTCTGCTTATTAGGTGATGGGCCCACGGGCGCTAGTGCCCCCCCTCGGCTTCTCGGTTCATAGTCTCCAGAGAGAACATGCTCCCGGCACCGATGGGCGTCCACCCGGCTGACCTCCCCAGGCAGCAGAGCCCTCGCAGGGGTGCAGGGCACAGAGCTGAGAACACCGGGAGCTGGCTCCCTGCTCAGAGCGGGGGCAGCTGTGGGCTGTGCCGGGGCGGCAGGAAGTGCCTAGGTTAGCGGTGCGGGTTGCTGTCTGTCCATTTTCTGTTCTTCCCTTTACGGTCTTGGTGCCAGCATTGCTTCCTCCCTCGTTGGGACACGTCCCCCGGTCTCAGAGCTGCTGTCTGGGGAGGCGGCGTTCCCGGCCTGCGGGCACTCGGGCTGTTCAGCCGGCTGGCGCGGAGCGGCGGCCCACTGAGGTCCCTCGGGAGTCCGGAGGATGGAGGCCGCCGGGGCCCGCCGGCCGCCCGCTTGCTGCTGCGGAGGCTGATGGCAGCCCTCCCACAGCCCGTTTCACAAGCCGCGTGCGCTTGCCCGAGCCTTTGGCCCTATTCCTCCGCCCCAGCCTGTCCTGTCTTAGGCCTTTGGCGGCCACACCTTGCCAACGATTGGAGCTGCCGGCATCTGCAGGAGGACCTAACGGCCCAAGATGAGCTCCGAGCCCAGGGAGGGGGCTGTCAGGCCCCCCCACTCCAGCCGGGGCTCCGGCCCAGGACGGGTGTCCCAGGGAGACAGCACAGGAGGAAGAGGGGAGGGTGAGAGGCACTGCGGGGCTCAGTCAGGTAGAAGGGCTGCCCTCGTGCAGTGCCTGAGTCAGCTGTTCCCTCTGCCTGTCCGTCCGCCACCCGTCCACCCGGAGCAAAGGCTGAAAGGCAGCCTCACGTCTGCCGCTCAGCAGCCTAACAGATCGGCGGAACTCTGCTTGCCCGGCCGATTCTTGATTAGAACCAACAGTCACCGTGAGGCCTGCATGCCGCCTCTCCCAGGCCCTCCCGCCCAGAACCAGCTGGGCGGGGCTGTTCATACCCACTGCGGGTCACTCCTCACCTCTGCCCTTGGTGACTAGAGGGGAGCCATCCTCACCCCTGCAGACTGACGTGGCTGGGCAACTATGGAGTACCTCCTCCGCCTGCTTCCCGGCTGGGTGATGTAGGGTTTTTAACCTTAGATATCTTTTCCTTTATTTAAAACAAAGCAATTTTTAGCACACTGAAGAGGAAAAAAAAACTAAACGTTTTGTGCCTTTCTAAGGCAGAGCTGTACCCCAGGCTGCATTTTAGAGCTTAATATGGACATAGCAGCGTCTCCATGCTGCTGAGTGTCACTCCACTCCGGGAAGGGCAGTGCTGGGTGTGGCTGCGAGGCTGGGCCTCCCCCACCTGCCTGGGTGAGGGGGGGCGGGTTTCCTCAGGTCTCAGCCTGCACAGGCTCTGGCGCACTGTCCCTGACTCAGGCCTGCTGGGCCTTCAGGTGTCCCAGCCTCAGGGCCAAGACAGTGGGCCAGGCCTGGCCCGGGGGGTGGTTTCCCTTCCCCTTTGGGGATCCTGACCTGCCTCCACCTCCGGCCCCGCAGACCCTGGCTCAGAGCAGGAGCAGCGCATGCCTCTGGGCTCGGCTCCCCAGAAGAGGCAGCAGAGCTGACCACAGCCTGTTCTCAGAACTGATCTTTAAAGTGTCATTAATATAAGAAACTTTATGTTTGTAGTATTTAATCTTTCTCACTTGGGAAGAATAAGACAAACAGAGGTAAATATTCCTATGGAGAAGAGCAGAGCTTTAAGATGTGTCCAAGGTCTGTCATACTAATGTTATTTATTAATGTTGTCATTTATATACAGTGAACTAAAGAGCTTTTTCAAGCACCTACGTCCGTATTTTTAAATAAAGTTTCTTTTGTTGTAGTTGACCTGAGCGCTTGTCTTTGGTGGGGATGGAGGGTTGGCACAGGGGGCAGCGGAACCCGGCCTCAGGGAGGGGTCCCTCCTGGGGCCGCTCCTTTTGGAGCCCAGGCGCTGCGGTTCCCACGGAGAATGAAACGTGTGTACGGTTCCAGGACAACTAAGCTTTATTGTGTGTGTGTGTGTGCGTGTGTGTGTGTGTGTGTGTGTGAAACTATTTGCAAGATACACACAACCTAACAAAACCACACACACACACACACACACACACACACACACACACTATACCCCAAGCTCTGGCCTGTTTCCCAGCCTCCCTCCAGGGCCTTCCATAGAGTTTGGTGCTGGGGTAACTAACCTTGTCCCCTTAAAGGGCACAGGGACCCCGTGCCCTGCTCTCACCCTCAGTCTGACCGGAGCCAAGTGCACAGCTCCAGGCCGTAGAACGCGGCTCCCGCACTGCTGGGCCCAGCCAGATCTGAAGGGCTCCACCCGGGAAGGGGCCACTGCTGCCAGACACTGCCAGGCCGGGAGCCTGCACGCTGCCCCTCCCGCAGCCGCACGGCGGAGCTGGGAGGCCCCTGGGACAGCAGGTCCCCTGAGACAACGCCCGGACGCCCCGGCTGGGCAGGCAGGGCCCTAGTCCGTAACCGAGCAGGTGTTTGGGCGGAACTCGCCCTCCGGGACCGAGGCCGCCGGGGTGAGCGCCCCTCCACAGGTGGACAGTGTGGTCCCCGAGGAGGGCCGCCAGGGCCCTGCACAATGGGAGGGCAGACGGGGGGGGGGGGGTGTGCGCCATCTGTCATCCACGGTAGAGGCTTTGGTGACTCCTGAGTGTCCTGATTGCTGGGGCCGGCGAGCAGGGGCGGCGGGGAGGGGTCCAGCTGCGCTAGTGCCTCAGATCGATGTACTTCTCCCCCTGCAGAGGGGAGGAGAGGAGCATGAAGGCCTGATGGGCAGGGGCCAGCACCAGCAGGGAGGCACGGAGCAGCAGCTGTGAGCCTGGCGGTGCAGCAGCCGCAGGGCGGGCAGGTGGGTCTCAGCCCCCAGGTCAGATGGGCCCCACACAGGCTGAGCCACAAGCACTTTTGGAAACGGTGAGGCGATGGGAGGGGTCTTTGCTCTCAGTGCCGGCAGCCCCGTCCAGTCCCTCAGCCCTGGCCCTGCCGCCTGTGAGTGTTAGGAGGGAGGTGCGGCCTGCGGTGTCCGCGGAGGACGGGCCGTTAGTGGGGGCGAGCCCTGGCGCTGGGCAGGCCTGGCCGCAGCAGCCGCTCCTACCTGGTCTCCGGGCGCCCTCTGGTCAGCGCGGCTGCCCTGTAGGAGGCCCATCTCTTCGGGGGGCTTATCTGACTTAACTTCAACTACAAATGTGCTCTTATGAGAGGGGGGCAGCGTTCTGGGGGAGGAAGGGAAGCAGGAGGTTGGCAACTCAGGAGGCAAGAGAAGGGGGGGCTCTGGGGAAGGGCTTTGTCAGGGGGGGACCCCAGGACCGTGCTCTGGCGTGCTCTGGGGCTGGCGCGGGGAAGGGGGAGCGTGGCGGATGGAGCGGGCCGCAGCAGGGAAGAGGTGAGCAGGCAGCCAGGCCAGCAAGGACTGGGAAGCGGCGCTGGGTGAGGGCCACGCGGGGGAAGAGGCCGGCTTACATGTCCTGTTTGCCCGAGCGCCCGCAGGGCAGCTTGCCCTTCTTGTGGAAGAAGCAGAGGACGGCGCCCAGCAGCGCCAGGACCAGCAGGCTCACGGTCACGGCCGCGATGACCACGCCCTTGCTCTGGGGCTCGGGCAGCTTCTTCTCTGTCCCACAGAGACACCGGGTCACCCCTGCCCACTCCCATCGCTGCGCCCCAACCGGCCGGTGGGAGAGGGGCTCCGGGGCAGAATGGGTGCCGGTCAGTCGGCTCTGCTCTCGCCCGCCCAGCTCACCCGTGGTGGTGCCGTTGGCTCTGGCGTGAGGCCCGACGGTGGCGGTGCTGGGCCCAGTGCTTCTGTTGCAGGCTGGGGAGACGGAGAGGGATGGGTGGAGGTTTGGAAACGCAGGAGCCCAGGCCCTTGGGGGGCAGGAGGGGACTCCCCAAGGGGCAGGCCTTACCCAGCTCCAGGAGGAAGCGTGTGGAGTTCCTGCCCAGGGTGTTGGAGGCCACGCACTGGGCGCCTGTCTCCACCAGCTGCGGGGTCACGCGGACACTCAGGAGGCTCAGGACGCCCTGGGGGCCCTGGTCCTGCTCGCTGGCCTAGGAGGGAGCAGCGGCTCAGGGCGGGGTTCGGGCGGCCCCGAGCCCACAGGCCAGACGCTGCTCACCGTGCCGCCCACACTCCAGGTGATGGCGGGCCTCGGGTGCCCCCACGCCTCGCAGGTCAGGTTCAGCAGCGCGTCCTTCGGCGCCCGCACCTTCCTCTCCCTCAGCGCCATCCACGGGGGGCCTGCGAGCAGGGCAGCTGAGCCACGGCCTCCTCCCGGCGCCCTCCTCCCCGGGCGCCCTCCTCCCGGGCCTGGGCGGCTTTCTGTCCTCCAAGGGCCGGCAGCACCCTCCCTGCACCCGCAGGACCTCACCGAAAACCGCCACGCTGACCAGCCGCGTGGCGTTGAGGCCGGGCACGTGGGACGCCGAGGCCACGCAGCGGTAGCCGCCCCCCGCCTCCCGGTCCAGGTCCTGCAACTCCAGCACCGGCCCCAGCGCCAGCACCTCGCCGGTCTGCGGGGAGAGAGGCGGGTCAGGGGCCGCCCCGGCCCCCCCCCCGCACCCCGGCCCCCCTGCCCCCCCCCGGGCACCCCCCCACACCTTCTCCCTCAGCCACTGGAACTCCAGCGCTTGGCTGCTCTCCGCCCCGCAGGTGAGCGTGAGGTTGCCGCCCTCGTGGGCTTCCGGGGCGGCGGGGCGCACGCGGACGTCAGACACGAAGTCCACCCGCAGCTCCCGCGCGGCGCTCAGCAGCGAGGCCGAGCTCTCCAGGTCCAGGCCCTGGCACTGGTAGCGCCCGCTGTGCTCCCTGCGCGCCGGCGCCAGCACCAGCACCCCGTCCTCCAGGGTCCGCTCCTCCACCGGCTCCCTCGTGCCCGGGTCCTGGGGGCGGGCGGGTGAGCAGGGCCCGAGCCGGCCTTCCCGCCCCGCCCCCCTCACCCCACCCGCCCCCCCACCTCACCTCACCCGCCCCACCTCACCCCACCCGCCCCCCCACCCCACCCGCCTCCCCACCTCACCCCACCCGCCCCCCCACCTCACCCCACCCGCCCCCCCACCTCACCCCACCCACCCCCCCACCTCGCCCCACCTCACCCCACCCGCCCCCCCACCCCACGCCCCTCACCCCACTCGCCTCACCTCACCCCGACCCGCTCCCCCTCACCCTGACCCCCCCTCACCCGGCCCCGCCCCACCTCACCCCCCTCACCCCGACCTGCCCCCACCTCACCCCCCCTCACCCGGCCCCGCCCCCACCTCACCTCACCCGCCCCACCTCACCCCACCCGCCCCCCCACCTCACCCCCCTCACCCCACCCACCCCACCTCACCCCAACCGCCCCCCCACCCCACCCGCCCCCCCACCTCACCCCACCAGCCCCACCTCACCTCACCCCCTTCACCCCTCCTCACCCCGACCCGCTCCCCCTCACCCTGACCCCCCCTCACCCGGCCCCGCCCCACCTCACCCCCCTCACCCCGACCTGCCCCCACCTCACCCCCCCTCACCCGGCCCCGCCCCCACCTCACCCCACCCGCCCCACCTCACCCCCTTCACCCCCCCTCACCTCGCCCCGCCCCGCCCCCCTCACCTCCCCCCCTCACCCGGCCCCGCCCCCCCTCCCCGGCCCCGCCCCTCCCCCCTCCCCCGCCCCCTCCCCCCTCCCCGGCCCCCTCCCCTCTCCCCGGCCCCGCCCCTCCCCCCTCCCCTCACCCGCCCCCTCCCCGGCCCCGCCCCCGCACCTGCTTGCTGAGGCTGAAGTGCGGCGGGGGGTTGCCGTCCGCCAGACACCGGATCTCCACGCGGTCCCCCTCCTTCAGCGGCCCCGCGGGCGCCACCTCCAGCCACACGGTCTCCGCGGGGTCTGCGCGCAAGGGGCCCTGAGCCGCCATCGCCGCCGCCGCGGGGGGCACCCCAGCCCTGCCGGCCCGCGGACTCACAGAAGACGGGGACCGTGACCTCCGGCGACTCCTTCATGTGGCTCCCGCCGGGCAGCCGGTAGCTGAGCTCGCAGTAGAAGCGCGCGTCCCGGTCCTCCTTGCGCAGCTGGGCCTGGAGGACGCTCCGCAGGGTGTACAGGCCGCTGGACTCCGCCGTCTGCGACGACTGGATGTGCACCCCTGCGGGCGGGACGGATGTGCACCCCTGCCGTGGGGGGCCGGATGTGCACCCCTGCGGGCGGGACCGGATGTGCACCCCTGCGGGCGGGACCGGATGTGCACCCCTGCGGGCGGACCGGATGTGCACCCCTGCGGGCGGGGCCAGATGTGCACCCCTGTAGGCGGGACCGGATGTGCACCCCTGCCGTGGGGGGGCCGGATATGCACCCCTGCGGGCGGGCCTGGATGTGCACCCCTGTAGGCGGTACCGGATGAGCACCCCTGCGGGCAGGGCCGGATGTGCACCCCTGCGGGCGGGACCGGATGTGCACCCCTGCGGGCGGGCCGGATGTCTTGGCTCCACCTCCTCCCCCGTCTCCCGGGAATCAGCGGGGAGACCCGAGGCCCCTCTGTACCCGCAGAGGACAGGGAACAGAGGACCAGGGAGGGGAGGACGGGGAGCGGAGGACCAAGGAGAGGAGGACCACGGAGGGGAGGACCAAGAAGAGGAGGACCGGGGACAGGAGGACCACGGAGGGGAGGACCAGGGAGGGGAGGTCCGGGGAGGGGAGGACCACGGAGGGGAGGACCGGGGAGGGGAGGTCCGGGGAGGGGAGGTCCGGGGAGGGGAGGTCCGGGGAGAGGAGGACCACGGAGGGGAGGACCGGGGAGGGGAGGTCCGGGGAGGGGAGGTCCGGGGAGGGGAGGTCCGGGGAGAGGAGGACCACGGAGGGGAGGACCGGGGAGGGGAAGTCTGGGGAGGGGAGGACCGGGGAGGGGAGGTCCGGGGAGGGGAGGTCCGGGGAGTAGTGGACCGGGGAGGGGAGGACCACGGAGGGGAGGACCGGGGAGGGGAGGTCCGGGGAAGGGAGGTCCGGGGAGGGGAGGACCGGGGAGAGGAGGTCTGGGGAGGGGAGGACCGGGGAGGGGAGGTCCGGGGAGGGGAGGTCCGGGGAGTAGTGGACCGGGGAGGGGAGGACCACGGAGGGGAGGACCAAGGAGAGGAGGACCGGGGAGGGGAGGTCCGGGGAGAGGATGTCCGGGGAGGGGTGGTCCGGGGAGGGGAGGACGGGGAGGGGTGGTCCGGGGAGGGGAGGACGGGGGAGGGGATGTCAGGGAAGGGGAGGACCGGGGAGGGGAGGACGGGGAGGGGAGGACCAGAGAGGGGAGGACGGGGGAGGGGAGTACGGGAGAGGGGAGGTCCGGGGAGGGGAGGACCGGGGAGGGGAGATCCGGGGAGAGTAGGACCGGGGTGGGGCGGGGAGGGGAGGACAGGGGCAAGAAGGCCCGGGGAGCGCTACAGACTGAACCGCAAGGGCTTCCAAGCCTCACCGCCCAAAGGAAAGCGAAGCTGTGTGCAGTGTGGACACCGTGCCCGCCGGACCCCTCCACCGGCACCTCCTCCACTCCACTCGGCACCCCGCGCTCAGGACCTGGCACCCCGCGCTGGGGCTGTGCCATGCTGGTGGGATGTTAGCAGCACCCGACCTCTACCCACTAGATGCCAAGGGCACCCCTCCGTTCGTGACAACCAGACACCTCCAGACACTGCGGAACCCTGGCTGAGAGCCTGGATTTGGTAAAACACAGAAGCCTCTAAATCACTGGGCAGCATGCACTCAGACAGAGTAGTCCGGGGCTCATGCCTCTGTTGTAGGCTTTGACCCTCCCCCCGCCCATCCGGGTTTGAGAGGAGGGTGTGTGAGAGACAACCAATTGATGTCTCTCTCTTTTTTAAAAAATATATTTTTATTGATTTTTAAGAGAGAAAGGGAGAGAGAGAGCTAGAAATGTCGATGAGAGAGAAACATCGACCAGCTGCCTCTTGCACACCCCCTACCGGGGATGTGCCTGCAACCAAGGTACATGCCCTTGACCGGAATCAAACCCGGGACCTTTCAGTCCGCAGACCGACGCTCTATCCACTGAGCCAAACCGGCTTCCGCATGATGTCTCTCTCACATCGATGATCTCTCACCCTACCAACACTCACTCTAAAAACCAATAAAAAAAAATAGCCTCAGGTGAGGATTAACAACAACAAAAAAGTTTAAAATCTTATGAAAATATCTTCAAGTGTCACTATGCACTTTTAAAAAATAAAAGTAAACGGTAAGGTGGTTTTCAGCGGCTGGGGGCTGCTTACGGTTCTTCTGCTCCTTCAGGGGCTGTCCGTTCTTGTACCAGACCACTTGCGGGACGGGGTACCCATTCCTCCCCACGCAGGTGGCAACCTAAGAAGGACAGGTGAGTCTCCCTGCCCACTCCTCGCCAGCCAGCCCCACCTCGGCCTTCTTCCCACTGGCCGGGCACCTCACCTCCTCAGGCTCTGGGCTGTTCACCGAGATGCCCTGGACGTTGGCCTGGATGCTCGGCTCCTCTGGAGCTTCTGCCCCGGAGACAAGGAGCGGCCTGAGCAGGCGCCCCAACCCGCAGGCCCAGCCGCCGCCCCTCCGCCCCTCCGCCCAGCCCACCCCGCCCCTCCGCCCAGCCCACACCGCGCACGCCCCTCCTCGCCCGCAGCCACCGCACTCACTGTAGACGCGGAGCTGGAGGCGGTGCTCCCGGGGCCCAGGGCGCTTGGCCCGGCACAGGAAGACTCGCTCGTCGTGAGGGGTGACGTGGGCGAGGGCCAGCGCCGCCCCCGCCTCCCGCAGGCTGAGCCGGTGCTGGTACTCCCCGGGCTCGCTCTGGCCACGGCCCTGGCGCACGTGGAAGATGAGTGCGGGCTTCTCCCTGTGGACCTGGGGGAGCGGGCGGCGGTGGGTCCGGGCCGCGGCCGGGACAGCCCCGCCGCCGCCCGCTCTGGAGCCTGGCACTCACGGAAAACCAGTCCACATGGCTGAGGTTGCCCTGCGCCTGGGAGGGGCCGCACCGGAGGAGGGCTGTGCCGCCCACCGCCACCTCCACCAGCTCGGGCTCGGGCGGCTCGGCCTCTCCAAGCACACCTGGGGCGAGAGGCCACCCAGCAGCTGCTTCAGCTCCGGCTGCTGCACCCCTCCCGCCGCTCCCGCAGCTGCTCGGCCCGCCCGCCCCTCCCCTCGCCGTGGGCCAGCCCTCTCCCAGTTCAAGCGAGCTGGATGGTCACCGCTGGCCATGGAGCAGACCCGGAGCCCAGGCACCTCCCAGACGAGGCAGCAGAGGGTCCCGGGCTCCGGGCCAAGAGGCAGGCCCCTCTCCTTCCAGGCCCGCCCCCAGTGAGCTCAGCGGGTGGGAATGCAGGGCATGTGCCAGGCGGGCACACAGGCCCCTTTGTGCCCACACCCGGAGAAGACCACTCCTCTCCCCTTGGCCCCAAGCCCCTCCCACGTCCCCACAAGACCCCCGGGTCCAACCCCGGTCACAAGCTCCCCCTCCATGCGCAAGCAGCACCTCCCGCACCTCCCGCACACTCAGGGGGCCCCATGCTGGGAATGAGGACTGAGGGTCACAGTCTCCCCTAGGGGTCAAGACAAGGCCAGGCAGCGGGCAGGGTGACGTCAGAGCTGCCAGCCTGCGGCTGCTCCATTGGAGGTGATGTCAGTGGACCCCATCCGCCTGGACTCCGGCTCCCAGGCCAGGCAGACGGAGGGGTCCGCAGCCCCTGCAGAAGCCTGCACAGCCCCTGGCCCTCAGCGGGGAGGGCGAGGAGGCGGAGGGGCCGGACCTGCGAGCCTGAGGGAGCCTTTTCCCCAGAAACGCAGTCCGCTCGGGAGCTGCCGCGCCGGCACGCGGCCAGCGAGCGGCACTGCCCGGCCCGCCCTCCTCAGCGGGCGGCGGCCGCGGGGACAGGGGTCCGGGGAGAGGGGCCCGGGGACAGGGGCCCGGGAAGAGGGGTCCGGGGAGAGGGACCCGGGGAGAGGGGTCCGGGGACAGGGGCCCGGGGAGAGGGGTCCGGGGAGAGGGACCCGGGGAGAGGGGTCCGGGGAGAGGGGCCCGGGGACAGGGACCCGGGGCCCGGGGAGAGGGGCCCGGGGACAGGGGCCCGGGGACAGGGACCCGGGGCCCGGGGAGAGGGGCCCGGGGAAAGGAGCCGGCGCTCGCGGACCCGGAGCCCAGTAGTCGGGGAGCTCCCCCGAGGGCGGCCCAGGCCCGGAGGGGCACCAGCCGGCGCTCCCACTCCGCGAGCCTCAGCCGCCACCTGTTTTCCGTCCCCGGCGGCGCGGGGAGAGCGCCGCGCGCCCCGGCGGCGGGACCTCGGTGCCCGGAGGGCGCTCCCGCTGCGCCCGCCTTCGCTCCGCGCGCGGCCGGAGCAGAGGGAAGCCCCCGCGCCCCCCACTCGCTCCCGGACTCCGACCGCGGCGGCGCGGGCACCCGGGACAGAGGGCGCACGGCGCGGCGCTCCGGCACCGGGCGCGGCCCCGCGCCCACTCACCCGCGGCGCGGCGGCAGCAGGCGGCCAGCAGGAGCGCGCAGAGGAGCCGGGGCGGCCGCATGCTTCCCCGCCGAGCGCCGCCGCCGAGTGCGAGGTCCGTCCGCGCCCTCCGCCGCCGCGCTGACGTCAGGGGCAGCGGAGGGGGGCGGGGGCGGGGAGGGGAGGAGGGCGGGGAAGGGAGGAAGGGAGCGGGGAAGGGGAGGGGTGCGCAAGAGACAGCAGGGGAGGAGGGGAGAGAGGGGGCAGGAGGGGGAGAGGGAGGAGGGGGGAGGGAAAAGAGGGGAGGTCAGGGAGGGGTGGGGTGGGGCCTGAGCTTCCTGCGGCCCCGCCCCGAAGCCCCGTCCCAGTCCCTGCCTCGCACCCTGGGGTGGGGGGCGGGACGCGCACCACACAGCTCCCGGGGCAGGGGGAGGCCGCCGCCCTGAGGGTGAGCGGGAGGGACAGGTGTCCCGGGAGGAGCTGCCAGCCCACCGCGCCCCCCTCCCATCTCAGCCACACAGGAGCCGTGCGGGGCGGACACACAGGAGCCGTGCGGGGCGGACAGAGGAGCCGTGCGGGGCGGACCGGACAGAGGAGCTGTGCGGGGCGGACCGGACAGAGGAGCTGTGCGGGGCGGACACACAGGAGCCGTGCGGGGCGGACACACAGAGCCCGTGCGGGCGGACTCGCTGCCTCGGGCCGTCCCTTTGAACCCAGCCCGCAAGCCCGGGCCGCTCTGCACTGGAGCTGGCACCCCGGAGGCAGGTCCCGAGCGGAGACGTTCCTGCCTTTGCCCAGGCAGGACCTAGCGGGGACGGGGACGCAGCTCCCCGCGCCTGAAGGAAGAGGGAGGAAGGGGGCATGGGGCCACCTCCAGTCTGCCCCCAGAAAGCCTGTTGTGCTTCCTGACAATTGAAAGGGCCACCCCTCTCCACCCCATCGCCGCAGGCTCCGGCATTGGAGTGAGGCTCAGGGTGGGCGTGGAGGAGGCATAGACCGCCCGCACCCCCTCTTCCCAGCCCAGCTCTCCTGGCCTCTGGGACAGAGGCTCCTGCCCCAGAGAGACCCCTCCCCCTGGCTGCGGGGCTCCTTGGGGGGAGGTCACTCTTTGGGGGAGGGGCAGCGGTGGACAGGTGATCGGAGAGCAGGCCCTGGACAGTGCTCTGATGATGCAGGAATGACTAACAACATCAGCTCCCCTCAGGGGGGTGGGGGGCATGCAGCATGGCCAGGCCCAAGCCTGGAGCCAGGGGGGCAGAGAAGGTGATCCCTGCCTCCCCACCCACCAGAGCCAGTATAGAGTCAGCCCCCAGAGCCAGGATAGGGTCACCCAGAGCCAGTGTAGGTGGGCCCAGGCCTGGAGGGAGCGGATGAGCTTGCTGGTCTCAGGGGCGGGAGTAGGAATGGCTGGAGGATACTGGCAGCTCTGCTCCCCTGCCCCGCCCCCTCCCCTCACTGCACCGTTAACTCCTCCTCCTGCTCTCTGGGGCCTGAAAGCAATGCCGGCTAACCGAAAGGACAGGCAGTGCGGGAGTCCTTCGCCTGCAGGAGGGGAGGCCAGTGCGGTGAGAGGGCTGCCTCTACAGCGAGGGGAATGCGGCAGAGCCCTCCCTGCAGCCCCTCCCACAGGCTGTCCTCCCTGCAGCCCCCTCTGCAGCCCCTCCCACAGGCTGTCTGTCCTTCACGGGCCAGGGGCCGCGATGTGGTCGGAGTGGCCAGGGCACACACTCAGCTTTGGAGTGGCTTTCCTGGGGGCACTTCAGGGTTCCAGACTGAAGAGGCAACTCTGGCAGAGTCCCCAAGGGGACTGGGGACAGAGAAAAGGGAGCAGGACGGATGGAGCGGAAGGTGTTGGGGTCTGCCCGCTGGGCCCTCCCAGCTGCCAGGAGATGAGGTTCAGCAGCCGCAGGACAGAGAGGGGCCTAGGTAGAACCGGCAGCAGGACGCCAGGGAGGAGGCGGAGCTTCGCCTGGGCTGAGTTGGAAGCGGGCTGCTCAGATACAGGCCGAGGTCAGAGGAAGGTGCCGGCCAGAGCCCTGACCTGCTTGATTTCCCCGCAGAAGGAAGGGGTGGGACGGCGCCCTGCACCGGACAGCCAGGGGCCGGGCCGCCCTCCCGGCTCAGCCATTCAGCAAACAGGGTGAAGCACAGGAGCGTGTGCTCCATTCCTGCCGCTGTGTGGGAGAGCAGGGGCACCCACAGAACTCTGCCCCCCATAAGCCGCTGCTCCATGGGGTAGAAGGACAGAGATGTATTGGGAAGGAGGGTTATAGGCAGCGGAGTGGGAGCGGATACTCAGGACAGGTTACAAGACATGGGGGGGGGGGGGCGGCAGAGACGGGCGCCCGGGCCAGGTCACAGGCTGGGCTGTAAGAGCAGGGCCTCCGGACCGGAGTGTCTCAGCCGGACTCTCCCTCTCCACGGCCAGGCCGCCGTCCCTCTCCAGGCCGCCCTCCGCTGTCCCTCTCCAGGCCGCTGTCCCTCTCCAGGCCGCCGTCCCTCTCCAGGCCGCTGTCCCTCTCCAGGCCGCTCTCCGCCGTCCCTCTCCACTGTCCCTCTCCAGGCCGCCGTCCGCTGTCCCTCTCCAGGCCGCCGTCCGCTGTCCCTCTCCAGGCCGCCGGCCCTCTCCAGGCCGCCGTCCGCTGTCCCTCTCCAGGCCGCCCTCCGCTGTCCCTCTCCAGGTCGCCGTCCCTCTCCAGGCCGCCGTCCCTCTCCAGGCCGCCCTCCGCCGTCCCTCTCCAGGCCGCCGTCCCTCTCCACGGCGCCCTCCGGGGGCCGAGCACTCCCTGTGAGCCAGCCCCGGGGCGCCGGGGAGGGGCTGCTTTCTCCTGGGGCAGACGGTCACGGTTGACAGGGCAGGGTTGGTAGATCTTATTTTATTTCCCGTAACTAGCAGCTAGTCCCCAATATTCTCTTTCTGCCCCTAACACTCCTGCACCCCATGGTGGACCCAGCCTACTCCGAGCTCTGGCTGGGACTGGGCTGGGACTGGGCTGGGGGGGAGGGGGCTGCCGCTAAAATCCCCGGGTCGTTGGAGGTAAGAGGACAAGGATGGGCCTGTGCCGCACCCCCCGCTGGGCAGAGTTGACCCCAGGACCCCTGCCGGCCTCCAGCATCCTGGGCACAGCCACCTCCACCACCCGCGCCGCCTCGGAGGATGTGCGCGGCGGCGGCGGCGGGAGGAAGGAAGCTGACGGCCATCGCAGCTGCAGGGAGAAGGAGCGGCGAGGCTGCCCTGCCGCCCTCGCTAAGGCGTCTGGGAACCCCCTGGCCGGGAGGAGGGACCGGTCCGGGCGGCCTGCCGGGAAGGAGCCGGTGCTGGGGGGGGCACGGGGGCAGGAAGCGGATGCCGGGCCGGAGCAGCCGCGGGAGAGGCTGAATGGGGGGAAGCAGCCCCCATTCTGGCCGGATGTGTCCCCGTGTCCTCGCACCTGACCAGGCCGGGAGAGGCGCCCGGATGGAGGAGCCCAGAGGCCGGGAGGAGGGGGTGTGGGGCTGCAGGCTATTTTTAACCTTGGAAAACCCGCGAGTGAGTGCTGTCCCCCGGCTCGGCGGCAAAGGCCCATTGTCCGGCCCGCGGGGAGGGGACAACGGGCCTGTGTGGGCGGGAGGGGGGGTCCGCACAGCTGGGCTTCTCTCCGCTGGTGCCGGCGGGATGGGGAGCGGGGCTGGGGGCGGGGCTGGGGGCTGGGTGATGGGGCGGGGCTTGGGGCGGGGCAGGGGGGATAGGGAGCGGGGTGGGGATGGGGGCTGGAGGCTGGGGGCGGGGTTGGGGGGATGGAGAGAGGGGCTGGGGGCCGGGTTGGGGGGATGGAGAGAGGGGCTGGGGGCCGGGTTGGGGGGATGAGGAGCGGGGCGGGGGGAGGGCTGGGAGCGGGGCTGGGGGCTGGGGGCGGGGCTGGGGGGATGGGGAACGGGGCGGGGGGGATGGGGAGCGGGGCTGGGGGCTGGAGGCGGGGCTGGGGGGATGGGGAACGGGGCGGGGGGGATGGGGAGCGGGGCTGGAGGGCTGGGCGGGGGGCTGGGGAGCGGGGCTGGGGGGTGGGGCCGGGGGGCTGGGGGCGGGGCTGGGGGCTGGGCCGTGGGGCTGGGGAGCGGGGCTGGGGGGCTGGGAGCGGGGCGGGGCGGGGCTCCTGCCGGCGTTCCCAGGGCCCTTTCCCAGGGCCCGGCATTCCGGGGCTCCCCGGGGAGCTGTGGCTGCGGGCGGGGAGCAGGGGGGCGGACAGGACTTCCGGGGGCAGCACCCCGGCCCAGAGGAGGGGTCCCAGCGCGTCGCCCCAGCCCCGGCGGCGCCCCCAGGGGCGGGGCGCTGGAACCTGAGCGTGAAAGCCCCGGCGGGGCAGGGGCTGGGGTGGGGCCGGGGGCAGGGGAATGGGGCTGCTGGGGCTCTGGTCCCGCGGGCCCGGATCCGGTCTCAGGCCTTCCCCTGGGCGGGCGGCGGCAGGTCCCCCGGGAAAGGGCCTCCAGGGCTGGGGGTCCTCCCGGGTGCCCGGCGACGGTGACGGGGGAGGAGCAGCGGGGCCTCCTGACCCTCCACCGGCTCACCCGCAGCCCTGAGACCCAGCCCGGGGCCCCAGCCCGGAGCCCCCAGCCCGGAGCCCCAGCCCCCAGCCCGGAGCCCCAGCCCGGAGCCCCCAGCCCGGAGCCCCCAGCCCGGAGCCCCAGCCCGGAGCCCCCAGCCCGGAGCCCCAGCCCCCAGCCCGGAGCCCCAGCCCGGAGCCCCAGCCCCCAGCCCGGAGCCCCAGCCCCCAGCCCGGAGCCCCAGCCCCCAGCCCGGAGCCCCAGCCCGGAGCCCCCAGCCCGGAGCCCCCAGCCCGGAGCCCCCAGCCCGGAGACCCAGCCCCCAGCCCGGAGCCCCAGCCCGGAGCCCCAGCCCCCAGCCCGGAGCCCCAGCCCCCAGCCCGGAGCCCCAGCCCCCAGCCCAGAGCCCCAGCCTGGAGCCCCAGCCCGGAGCCCCAGCCCCCAGCCCGGAGCCCCAGCCCCCAGCCCGGAGCCCCAGCCCCCAGCCCAGAGCCCCAGCCTGGAGCCCCAGCCCGGAGCCCCAGCCCCCAGCCCGGAGCCCCCAGCCCGGAGCCCCAGCCC